AGAGTCGATGTCAAAACGTACATCACGAAGGGTTTTTGGAAACTTGGCGGCTCAAATCACATATTATATGCTTTTGTGGCGTTTCATATGAAGAAGAGATGTTTTGTTTTCGCCTTTATAGTCGTACTGAATGGCAGCATAAATGCTGCTTGTCTAGATGCAGGCAATTGATCCATCAGACGGAGCAACTTAGCAACGTGTTGATCCGCATTTCGGGTAAGACTGGTGGTTTCAATTTTTCACACAGTTTAATTTACTTAATGGGTCAATGAGATAACGAGAAAATGTCCTGGACAGAGCACACGGAGAGCAAGAGAATAATGCACAAAAGAATATGCAAAGAGGCAACAGTAACATTTAATGTGACGATGAGTTAAATTATATATGAAGTACTAGTTGTCACAGAATAGTCGCATACTTATATTTGGGGTTCAATAAGCATCTGACGATGAAAGATAGAACCGAACACCTATATGTTTCCGCACGACTTGCAACAGGTCTGAATTTTCCTCTGGCTGATTGCGGCTTGGACCGGCAAGCTGGTAGTGCATCGTATTCTGGATGTATTGGATCATCCAGTAAATTTATGCCAACTGAAACCGCATATTCAACCACTTCACCAGATTCGTGGTAATATCCATTTCGTACTTCCGGTCTAGAACACCAGCAAAGGCGACATTTTAGAAGCTCGCCGCAACATGGACTCCTCCTTATGGGTCAAGTTACGGTGGCAGATCGGTGTTGTATATTGCATTAGAATAAGTACGCACATTTTTGTGAGAAACCGTAGGACATCTGAGGGTGCCGAAATCTGCCTCAACAGCGGGAGGAACGAAGCAAGTTTGCACACTTTCTGAGCAACCTGCTCTTCGTTCTGTATGCAGTCCTTTTTGATAACTCCAAGAAAAAGACCCTTCAAGGATACTTGATTTGTGATTTCCTGCAGACACCTCGCTACTCACGACTATTCGATCTAAGGACCTAATTATAAAACTACCTATTTTCTTTAAAACGAGAGCGACGAAACATCGCAATTCTTCGATTAAGGTACGTTCGCCCTAAATCTAGTTATGGTGACCTATTGTTGCCGTTGCT